TGACCTGAAGGCTCTCACGGAGACCGTCAACAAGTTGAGCACGAGCGTCGGCGAAGCGCAAAAGCAAGGAGCCGGCATCGTAGACGAGGAAATCAGCGAGCTCTTCGCAGAACTCGACATCGAACCCGGAAAGCCGGTCGAGGAAGAAGCGGTGAGCGCGATTCGGGGGTGGGCTACCATCGAGGACGACGAGGAGGTGACGGAGGCTCTTCGACTGGACGCAGCGGACGAAATGGCGGAACTGCTGGCTGGAATGCAAGTGACTACCGGCGGTGATGAGGAGGACGAAGTGGAGGGCAGTGACGATGACAACTCGGGGCCCGAGCGCCGTGCTCCACCCGATTATACTGAGCTGTCGCCTCACTTCAGCGTCCTGGAAGCGGCAGCAGATGAGAGTGGCAACGCAGACGCGGCGTTCTTCCTAACGAAAGCGAAGATGGCGATGATTGCAGCGCATTCCGCTAGGCGGGTGCGCCAGGCAGACATGAGAGAGTTTGTTGCTGGTACAGAGTAAGGTTGAAGGGCAGCTGGTGTTGCAATGTTGCAATGGTTGTTTGCTTTTCTTCCGGTGCGCTTCCTGTCGTGTTTTTCTTTGTCACCGTTTTTTCTTGTCACATCCAAGGGGGTGCGCCAGGCAGACATTACAGAATTGCTCCTACGTTGCGAGGGCGGGGAGAACAGCTGTGGTAGAGTACAGTACTTATGTAATGGTCATTTATTTTCCGTGCGGTGCGCTTCCTGTCGTGCTCGTGTTCTTGGGGTTGTTTTGATTCTTTCTTGCGACATCCAAGGGCGCCAGGCAGACGTTACAGAATTGCTGCTATCATACGTTGCGAGGGCGGGGAGAACAGCTGTGGTAAATTAGAGGTGGGATACATATGATCGTTTATTTTCGTGCGGCGCGCTCCCTGTCGTGGTTCTCTGTTGTCTTTTTTTTTCTGGCAACATCGAAGGAGGGCAACGAGGACTTAGACGTTCACTAATATTACATATGCATACATATTCGATCCACGATCCACATCGTTCTCTGTTGGTCCCGCAAAGCTTGAGCGCTGCATCATGAAATCAACACCTCCTCAGTTGTGCCGGACCGGCACTACTGAGCCACTGTTCTGAATACTGCCGGTGCCCGGCATAGTGCCGCTATTTTCTCGGGACACTACCCGGCACTATAGAGGGCCCAGTACTGTAAACCATAATGGACCTCGTAAGTCGCGAGGGAAGGGATTGCTGTATCCTTCTCGCGATAAAAATACCTCAGGCATGAACCGCAGGAGGGGGTCCAACCCCCCCCTCCTATGTGGCCCCGATTGGGTCGTCTAGCTAGTAGAAGTGGAGGATAGGGGCCAGAGGGGCAGACGACAGAGTCCAATGATGGGAGAAAAACAAAAACAACAACAACAACAACTCCCAAGGAAAACATAAAGAAACTTCGTGTTCCTCCGTAGTTCGTCACTGCAACCCGCATATGTATACGCAATATACCACCCGCATGCTATGCTACGAGTATATCGAATACATCCCACCCCGTCCTCGACCTTGTTGCACCGCACCTCCGGGTCCTTGGCGCTCTCTTTCCATTTCCCCCCTTCCTTTTCGTCTCCCATGTTGAAGGCCACCAGATCCTCTCCTAGACGAGACACCCAGTCGCTCTCCTCCCCGCCCCGGTATCCCACGCCCCCCGCCATCGCTCCTAATAGCATGCGCTTGAGGCGGTTAATTGTCCTCCATGCGCATAACAAAGCAAAGCTATATATAGTCTATGGTCTATATTCATTGTGTTCTTCGTCATGATTATCGGTTGCTAGAGGACCGGGGATAAAGAGAGAGAAGGAGGGAAGGGCCAGCGCTATGTAGGAATTCGACTAAATACTGGTTTTACTGCACGCAGGTTCCCGCAATGGGACTCGACCATTGACTGCAGCAGTCAGTTGGATATTTTTCGACCGTTGCACCGTTGCCCGTTGCCAGAACAGACCAACATGATGACGTCACGTGTGCCCATTTGTAACGCCCCTCCTTTTTCTCCCAGTTCTCCCGGAACTGCCCGGCACACACGGCACACGGCAGCAGCAACGCACATCCTACACACGGCAACAGCAATACACATCCCACACGCTGCATGCACCGGTACCACTCTTCTGTAAAGGGCTGGGTAGTTCTTCTGTGCTTACCACGCTCGATCTGCTCATTCGCGGTGTCGAACATCCCTGCTGACACACGCGGCGGAATCATCACACTCCGAAGTCGCACCACCAGCACCACCAACATGAGCATGGCCGATCCCTCAGAAGTCCGAGCATCTCCAACTTGGGAGGGTCACTGGGCTGGAGGGATCAGTAAGGGTGACAGGTGGGATACCGGGGTTGTTTCTCCTGCCCTCCAAAAGCTTCTTGACGAAGGTGAGATTGTTCTGACTGAGCTGTGTACACGTGACACAGACACCACCTCACAGTTTCCAGTAACGTATTATTGTAGTATTAATAGTCGACCGGCACAGACCAAACGTCCACCTCCCTGATGGCATTCATTCGTAGCCTCAACCATCGGTAAAGCACGACGTATGGAACATCCCTCGCTGCTTGTGTCCAACACACAGCAGTGCACCAGTGCACTGCATGGAAAATAAACGGCTGCCCGTTCCTGAGCTTCGCGTCTGGTGCTCAAAACACCTATGTGACTTGACACCCACACTGCTTTTGCCCAGACCCAGAAAGATATGCCTGGGCCCTCGATCTGAAGTGGATGAAAGCGCTCCATGTATGCCGTTTTGACCATGGCCCCTAAACGCGGTAGAGCCCCACCCAGACAGCTGCGTTCACCAGGCACAGGCGTGCGACGTGCACGACGAGGAGATGCTTGCACACATCAGATCCCTGCAGATCAAGCTATTAGTTCTTTCGAAGGGTATGTCCGTTGTGATCGATAGAGAATATGTAGGCAACCTGTTCATGTTTGCCCGAGTGTTCGAAGGGACATATGTGATCGGGGTAAGTTTGATCGAGGTGTTCTTAAGGACATTGGTGATCGGGGCAAGCTTGCCCTTAAGGACATAAGTGATCGGGGTATGCTTTCCCGAGGTAATCTGAAAGAGAACAACGCAACAGCCGTTAGGTTACACGTGTGACCCCGGTTGGGTCGTCTAGCTGGTAGAAGTGGAGGATAGGGGCCAGAGGGGCAGACGACAGAGTCCAATGATGAGAGAAAAACAAACAAACAAAAAACGTGGCGCATGGATAGACTACACCCACGACGCGCAGGTTGTATTGACTCGGTCCCGGCTGTTTTGATAGCTGGCCTCAGATCTATGGGGGATAGGCATGCGTCCCAGCTTTGTGTGTGGCGTTTTCCTCTGCTTAGTCTTGGGCTGAAGCGTGTATGTGAGATCTCCGCTATGTGTTCTCCCTTTAACTCGACAACTCCAAGGGTTAGGGCGAGGTAGATAACAGCGACGAACATTCGGGAAAAATTTCCGTGAAGCACGGCCATCTCTTGACGTAGCACCACCAAACCGGTACGACGAAGATTGCCCTGTTTTCCGTCCTCCTCAGAATCCAGCGGTGCTCTGTAGGTCTTGTTCTGGTCGGAAAGGAGGGTCGCCCGGTAACCAATTTTGGGCCTCATTGTCGTGTCGAAAGAGATCGATACTTCGAGCTTGTTCCCCCCCCCCTGAAGATGGAGGCAATAAAACGTCGCGGCTGCGCCGCTCCTCGGCTCGTTTGAGTACACCGAAGAAGTCATCTGCAGGAAGCACGCAGGCTCGGTATCTCGGACGCCTGGGCGCAGAATGAACTCCTTTTGCGAATCATGGCACGCAAGCCACAAACAAAATGCGGTGTGGCCTCCCTGCCATCTCTTCCTCCATACCAACACCTCGTATTCACCACGGTGATCTCTCGTACAGGCGTGCTCCCGAAGGGACGTGCTCTTGTGCCTGGCTGCGGCCGTGGGTACGATTCCATCGCTTTCGGTAAGAGTGGCTACGACTCGATCGGTCTCGACCTGTCGCCAACCGGAGTGGAACAAGCGAAGGCTCTACTAGCGGAAGAGAAGCAAGAGGACATAAGCGGAAAGGCGAGACACGAGCTGAGCAAACACCGAAGGGTAGTTTGCAGGGATGGAATACTACGTTCGTGATTTCGGTTGAAGCAATCCCGAGATAAAGGTACTCGTTTTCGACGCAAAGACGTTTGCCAGCTAGCACAAGACACCACGGGGTAACCCGCTGAAGTTAGTACGTTGTGTGTATCACCGTGCGGCGTCAGAGTGCAGCAGATCCGCTAATTGCTAACCAAGGGAGCACCTGGCAATATTTTACGCCCCGCCCCATTTTTCATAGGTTGAGTTCCGGTCGGGGGATTTCTTCAAGTTCTCTACCGAACAGGAGGGGAAGTTCGACGTTATCTTGGACTACACGTTCCTCTGGTGAGCGAGCGACGTGCTTCCTGTCCGACTGCCTTGTAGATCTGCAGCAGCTGAAGAACGCCGCGTTGTGTGTGCAGGAAGGCGTGTGCCCTACACCGTGATGCCCCCGTAATGAGCGGAAACCGCTACCAACACGCATCATCTGCACTCTCCGACACCTGTCTGGTGTCACACGGAATGACGATATGGGCCCAATAGCAAGCCATCACGACACCTGACGACTTTCAATAACGATGTTGTCCGTCTTAGTTGCAGTGTTTACCTCTCGATCGCTGGTGCTGAATACGTATTCTCTCAGTGCGCTTGACCCGGCTGCCCGCGACGACTGGGCCGACCACATGGTATCGCTGCTAAGCCCTGAGGGGGAGCTCGTGACCATCATATTTCCGATCGTGGAAAAGGTGCGAAGGAACGCAGAAAAATACATGGAGCGTGTTTTCACTCTACCGGCATCGGAAGTGTAGGTGTGTCCCTTTTGTGATTCGTGCGGTTGGTTTAGTGGCGAGATTATTTTAACTGCCCTTCTCGTCGAGCCTCATCTCACATGCGACAGCTCTAGCTGTGTGCTTTGTACCAACCGGTTGACGTTTAGCATGTTTGACGCCCTCAGCGGTAACGGATGCCGCGGTGTAACTTGGGCAGGGTATGGGCTTTAAGCTCAGCAGCAGTTGGAGTTATGCGATTCTGTGGTTGAAGTTGTGCATCGTAAAACAGGACGGAAAATCTGACTCGGCGAGGGTGGGCCGTAACCATGACGTGCCGTTGCTTCCTTCGATTATCAGCCTCTTGATTGCAAACCAACGACAAGCGATGTTTTTTTTTTTTACCTTTTTCATTACCATCTTGGACAACAGGAGGGCGGGCCACCGTTTGCCGTGAGCGAGTCGATCGTATCGGATCTCCTCGAGCCTCGAGGACTAAAGGCGATACACCTCGAGAAGCTCGAGCCTAGCCTTTGCCACAAGACGAGGGAGGGGAAGACCGCTCTTGGGCGCTGGCGTTTCTCCGGATCAAAGTAGATGCCAGTCAGGTTACTATCAGGTTGTTATGCGGGAGGGCTTCGTGACGTATATGCTCACGTGTGGGTCACTACGGTGACATTTGTTTCTTTCGTCTAAGCTCAGGGCTTGTTTTGTCGGTCGCGAACAACCAGTTGTGTGTGGTTGAAAACCTGTAAGCCGAAATGTTGGTAGTAGTACAGGTCGAGCACTAAAGTACTAAAGTATTAATGTGAGACCGGTTGGAAGGCTTTGTTTGTAGATAGCGCTTTTTCCCCTCCGGAACTGGGGGGTACACCACGGATGTCGTTTTGGGGTTACCGGCGCCAGCCGTTCGTCGGCGTCGTGCCGACATACAACGGGGGCGCCGCTTCTGCACCGGGAGCGGCGGCTCCGGCCAAAGCTGCGACGGCAGGAGCGGCGCCACCGGGGGTGGCGACGGCGGCGCAAACGGGGATGGGAGAGCGCACGAGCGGGGGGGGAGTCTGCCCTTCCCTGTCTGTTTCCCCTCTCGCCCTCCCTGCCCCCCCCCCCCCCCCCCCCCCCCCCCCCCCCCCCCCCCCCCCCCCCCCCCCCCCCCCCCCATGTTGCCGGTGCCCCCCACCGCCCCACACCTTCACAGGCAGCAGGACCGACCGCTACCAGGCCACACCGGCGGTCACCAGGGCGATCGCTGGTGGCACACCTCGCGGAAGGCCGGGCGTGCTTGCGCTTAATTCGGTGGAGGAGGATGTCGCCGCTTCGCTCGTCGCCCAGCCTTCCCCCGACGAGCCCCCACTACCAGGCGGGCCGATGCGGCCTCGAGACTCCGGCGACGTACGCGCAGGCTCACGCGGGGCGGCACAGTGCGGCTTGGGGAGCAACCGAGAAGCGGGAGATGGATGGTTGGTTGGGGTGGGTACGTTCGAGCCGGCGGGAGGCCTGTAGCAACGAGCAAAGTCGTCTTTGGCTAGTGGGTCTACAAGTGGAAGGTTGATGAATTCGGCGGTGTAGTGAGTGCGAAGGCAAGACTTGTAGCCGGAGGCTTCAGTGATCGTGAGGGTATCGACTACTTTGAGACTTTTTCCCCGTGTCCTCCTCATCCGAGTATGCAGTTTGTTTTTTCGAGGCGCCTTGCTTCACCATTCTCTGAACAAGTTCGCTGCGAGAGTCTTCGCGTACCCGACATCGTCCATGATCGACTGCAGTTGACACGTGTAACCAACCCATCCCCCGAGTTTGATACATGCTTCTCGGTGAGAAGATGGCAATAAGCATACGAGAACCGGGCAGAAAGTACCAGTATCATACTGCTGTCATCGTGCACTCAAACTATGGCTTGCTATCAGCTGGCCCCTGACGGCCCTGGGTGATGCTGACCCGCTTCTAGTAGCCCCCAACTCCCCCAGTACCCTACCCCTCGTAACACCCTTCCTAGACTTGTTCGGTCGCACGGGAACCCGTCGAGGGGTCCGTCTCACGCCCACCCCACCACCTTGACTGCCTCCGCCGATCGCCAACAAGCTGGTGGGAGAAAACCGCAACGGACCCACTTTGGTTGCCGTCGAGCTGATGCTGCTCTCGCAGTAGCGGTCAAGCTCTTCCTCTGCGTACTTTCGGTGCGCCCGGGCGGGTCTCCGGCTGACATCCACGAGGATTTCGTGTCCCCCCGCACCCGCGGCATCGACGCCTCCTCCCGCTTCATGTCCTATCGCACTCTTGCTATCCAAACGTTCGCGGTCGCCACTTGGAGGGTCGTGATGTTTCTCCAGCGGTAGTGTTGGGATCTTGTTGCTGTTGCTCGGTACCCCGCCGAAGGCGGTTGCTGTCGTTTCGACTGCATAGATGCGTCCTTTGCGGGATCGACTGGAGTGTAGCGGGTGCTTGGTGTCGTCGTCTTTGCTTGCTGTATTAGTGACCGTTCTGTTGTTGCTGGGTGACGATTCTGTCTCCAGGACAACTTGTTCTGCCGCTCTTATCTTGCGGTCTTCCTGCGCCCGCCTGAACACGACGAAAACACAAGGGCGTGGAAACACCGTTCACGCGTAACAATTTCTTCGTTGACACGAGTCATGAACGCCGGCGATGAGTGAGCTTATTGGTTTACTGACATAACTGAACACCGTGGGGGATAGGTACATGGGAATGGGCGCCAAGGGATCGCTCAAAAGACCCTGATCGTGGGGCGGCCGTGAGTTCTTAACCTTCGCCCCGTCAGGGTTACGAGGGAAAGGGAGTCCTACGGGCACAACGGAATTGGTTATACTCTTGATTCGCAAGCCCGACCCCCCGGGATAACGTAAGGTGTAGCTGTTACTCCAGGGGTCATGTATATTTTGTAGGTGTCAGCTCTAGGAGATGACGGTGCGCACATGGTCTGGCCGTTTAAGCAGTTGAATCAAACATCCTCTATTGCGCCAGCCGGTAATACCGTTGGATGATAATGGGGAGTGGGGCTAGAAACAGGGGATAGGGGGGGGGGGGGG